ATCTCTGGGCAAGGAAAGGAGACAAGTGCTCCACACATTGCTCTTCATGAGGAGACTGCAAGACAGCAGCAGTCTCTGGCAGGCTTACAGCTCTAGGGAAATGAGGGAATATCCACCTTTTTGCTCAAGCCATGGTGAGGGCTTTTATTTTTTTAATATGTTTTATTGATTTTTAACATAATCGCCTTAATATTTGGTAAGCAGCGTATTGTCTGGATTAGTATTTTAAAAACAATAACAATTAATTTCTATAATTCTATAGTCCATATAATGACTTTACTTGATTTTCTTTTCTTCTAATAATATTCTCTTTTGCCAAGCTTAAATTAATACAGTTCTTATTATTTGAATAAATGACAATTAAATATAGACATTTTTCTCATGTTTCTGCAAATAATAACCACATCAATATAAAGCTTCTTTTCTAATTGATCACTTTGATTAGCTTGTCATAGATCCTGTTTACAGAATTCTTATTTAAATTCATTTTCCCCACAATATTCAAAGCATTCTTACTGGTTAACATTTTCTTGAAATTAGTTACACTTAAGTATTTTCTCTCATACAAGCCATCCCAACATTTTTACATTTCTGCTATCTTAAAAAAAAAAGGGGGGGGGGACAGAGAAAACATTTCTTTTATATAAACCATCCCAACATTTTTATATTTCTTATGTCAAAAAACAAAACACAAAGGAAAAAAGAAAGAAAAAATATTATGTTACTTGAGGGGTTCATCCCTCTTAAATTAATCTTCATTTATATCCAAAATCTTTATATTTCTTTAACCATATCCAAGCAGATGTTTAATTTTTAAATATTCCCTCTGGTAAATCCCATCATCTAATTTCTTAATTATCACTTTAGCCTTTTTTTTGCCAAACATCTTTCCTGATCAAAGAATCTTTGCTTCGCTGAATCAAAGAATCTTTCCATAATCTTAAAAATGTTGTTGTAGGTACAAAAGGCAAAACAGGTAAGATGTTTTTATAGGAAGGTTTTGCCCCTCATATTCATTGAGAATCTTTTCCTTTCTTTCTTGATTTTATTTATCATTTTTTGTCTCTCAAGTTCTCATAGTTCTCCTGGCACAATCCATTTTGTCAACTCCTTTTTCTTGTCCTCAAACTTATTTCATAATCTTAGAGTATAGATTACTTTTTCCATGTCCAATATTTCCTGTAAGTTTTTTTTCATCTGGGTTAAATCATACTTTCTTCTATTGTTAAGTTCCATCTTGAAATCTCTCTCCTCTATATTGTATTCAGTTGTCTGTTTTTATTTTCTGAGAATGTTTGTGTTGTAAAGTTAAATTGGAGATGTGTTCATTTATATTTTCAGTTGTCTGTTTTTATTTTCTGAGAATGTTTGTGTTGTAAAGTTAAATTGGAGATGTGTTCATTTATATTTTTAAAGTTATTTTTAATTTCCTCATGGTTTGAGATCATTGTTGTTTGGATTAATTGCAACATAGCATAGATCTCCTTCTGGAAAGTATTTGTTTTTTCTTGGTATATTCTTTCTGTAGATCTCTGGTTTTTCCAAGAGAGCTAAAAATCAGGGTTTTCCTTTCTCTGCAGACAGCTTTAGATCACAGTTAAGTTGGTATTTGTAATCCAGAAAGGTCAATTCTTTTTTTTTTAGAGTTTATAATTCTCACTTTGTAGATAGCCCAAAATATTTTCCTTCTTTTTTGTCACAGCTCTTCTCTGTTATTAAGACATTGAAGATCACCAAAAACAAGTTATCTTTTTCTGGGCTTTGCCAGTCCCTATAATAAAGCATCCACCACTAGATGTCAGCACCAGTCAGTAATAGACAATTGTTTACTTCTATTTTCATGATTTAAAAGATTAACAGATCTTAACAGATTCCACTGATTTCAAATCTATCTAAATTAAGTCTTATATTCACTTTATTTCAGTATATTTCTGTTCCCTCTGAAAAGTTTAACTTGCCACTTCCATCTGTAGGAGAGTGGGGCAAAGTTCCCTCCCTTCTCAGTTTCAAAGGCTTTTTGCTTCTTGGGGTTTTTCTTTTTTCTTCTTCCAGGAAATCAATTTTCAAATAGAAGAGAGAAAATCACTGTTCTTACCCAGTTCCAAACATATTGTTTACAGTCAGCTTAAAATATTGCTTTTGGGTTTCGGCTGCTTGTAGCTTGGGGTAGACTCTGATGTTAAGCTAGCCTTTCTCCTACTGGTTTCTGGGGGGCTTTTCCAAAACCGATCAGATTGATTGCCGTCTCTCCGCAATCAGCAGGACTTTCTTCTTTGTTGCCTCTACAGGGCAACTTTAGGCCTATTTAGAATCCCCTAGCAGGCAGAAATCGGCCATAGGGTGCGGAGCCCCGTGATCCCTCAGCTGCTGTGCTGCTGGGCAAAACCAGAAGCCTCCATGGTGATGGCTTTTAAAAGGACACTGAACTTGCATGCTTTCTTTTCTAATCACTTTTGGAAATTCATGTTGTAGATTTGAAGGGACTAAAGATCAAGATTATTAAAAGTAAAATTATTATAAAAAAAGAAGATCCACAAAAATATAGACCTGTTAGCTTAACATCCATTTAGGTAGTGGAAAATGCTTTAAAGATAAAATTGGCAAATAATTGGAGACACTGGCTTTGCTCAAGAATACTCAATATGATTACATTAAAAGAAGATCTTGTCAAACTAATCTACTAGAGTCTCTTTTTGTTAATAAATGTGGTAAGAGTATGCGATTAAACCTACTTTGTTTAGATTTTTCAACTAATAACCTTAACAGCTATGGAATAAAAAGGCAGATCCTCTTCTGGATGAGCAAGTGGCTAAAGCATGGAAAATTAGGAATAAATGGACAGTTTTCAGAATGGAAGGATATAACTAGCAGGGTCACCCAGAGTTCTGTCCTAGGACTGGTCCTTTTAAATGTATTTGTAAATGAACTGGAATCAGGTATGAGTGGTGCTACAGCCAAGCTGCGGATAACATCAAATTCTTCAGAGGTAAAAGCAATCACAGACAATATTATTAAGCTCCCAAGAAATTGCAATGCATTTAGGGCAATGGACATCAACATGGCAAATGTCATTCAACATGAGCAAGTGTAAAGTGATGCACATTGGAGCCAAAAATCCTAACTACTAATGCAGTCAGAGCTAACAGTGACTGATGAAGAAAGAAACTGTGGAGTGACAGGAAAACAGTTCAATGAAAGTGTCAATATAATGTAAAAAAGACAACAGCACGTTAGGGATATTAAGAAATGGTATTGGAAATAGAGATGCAAGTATTTTTTTCCCCATTCAATCATGTTCAATTCTTGGAGACTGCCTGAAAAACCTGCAATTTTCTTGACAAGATTTTTCAGAAGTGCCTTGCCATTACCTCCTTCCTTCAGCTGAGAGAAAGTGAGTGGGTGGCCCTTACATAAATCAATGGGGTAACCATATAAGGAATATTGTGAGCAACTAAGAACAGCTTCCCTATGAAGAAAGGTTGCAACATTTGCAACTTTTTAGTCTAGAAAGGAGGTGAATGAGCAGAGTCACGGTTGAGGTGTACAAAATTATTCATGACTTGGATAAAGTGGACAAGGAAAAACCCTAATCCTAAACCTTTCCAAAATACTAGAATCTGAGTTCACACCACAAACTGAATCCTGGAAATATCAAAATGTACAAAAGAAAATATTTTTTTACACAAAGTGTAATTTAACTTTGAAATTCGCTACCACCAGATCACATCAACATCAGGTGGTGTTGGCTGCCAGCTCGGCATACATTTGCTTGCTTATTTATTGTTGTATTGTTTTATTTATTTTATATTATTTTTATTTTTTATATTGATTTCTATATAAATGACTCTGGCTGGCTCATAACTCAGAAATACTGTATATATTGCAATAAAATCTTAAAAACATTTTAAAACAATAAAAACAGTAAAAACCATTAAAACACTAAAAAAATATTAAAACATCTAATTCAAGTACATTTGATTAACTGTAGCTGCCCAGCTCCAATTGACTCTTGAAAAATAGAAGTTGACCAATTCATGAAAGCCATGGGGAACAATAGCTAAGTCTTGATGGCAGTGTGAGTGCCTCTGAAGGCCATCTACCTGGAGACTTGTAAGCTTCCTTGTGTATTTGTTGGACCACTGTGAGTTTGCTGGACTAGATGAGTCAAGGATCTGATCCAGCAATGCACTATTTACTTCCTTGTGTTCTTTCCATCCCAGGCACAGAGACCCTGTTCACAGGCAAGATTTTCTTATGATCATTGCTAACCTCCTCTGTACCCCAAGAATGAAAGCTTTGAAAGACTCAGAAGAGCAAATCTTCAAAAGAACAAGTTATCCAACCAGGTTTTGGCAAAACAAACAAGGTTCATTCATTTATCCACTATTAGATCATAGATGAACATGGTTTTAAAAATGGAGTTGGCAGTTACCATTACTAGTTTAAAATCAGAATCTAGTGATCCAGCATTGTGTTTGCTTTCATATTTTGAATTTAATGTTCACCACCAAATCTGTCAGGAGTGGGACAGGATGTAAGAAAACTGAAGTATGAGTTTGAATATTTTGACATAAGACAACGGGAAAAAAACCTATTATTTTAAGTTACTTTACAACTTCCCAATTGAAGAAAAATTTTGCTAGTTGACTACAGATATATGATCTTTTTACTTTTACATGAGCAATTGAAGGTAGGAATTTATCTCACTGTGCCTTGCTTCTTGACACTGCATATAGATCTCCATTGCTAAATGTATCAAATATAAAGATATTTTGCATTATTAGTCCATGCTTATGATGACTCCTGGTAGAAATATAGATGTCAACTAGATCTTTGTTTGTGATACATTCCTTGTTCATTTATAATGAACCTGTGTAATAAGATAAAATTGTTAAATGTACCGTAAATGCCGGCGTACAAGGCGACCCGGCGTATAAAACGACCCCCGTCTTTATAGCCGGGCCGCATTCCTAGAACGTCGTCTTATACGCCGGAAACTACCAGTATTTCCGGCGTATAAGACGACTCGGCGTATAAGACGACCCCCATCTTTGGCGCTGATTTCAGCGCTCGCGGAAGTCGCCTTATACGCCAGCATTTACGGGTACTTAAAAAATTGACTATTATAGAAATGTTTAAATGCAGAGAAATAAAGTGTTATTATTTAGTAGTACACCTCTAAGGCTTTGCAAAGAATCTTAAGATGTATTTCTTCACTTTTCCCTAATGCCTTGGAAAGTTATATCAAAGTGGAGCTGAAATCCTGCATGCGTTTCCTGTTATTCATTCTCTAATGGCAGAGTGTAAAAACACATTCAGCATACTCCTAAGTAGAAATTTATACGTTATTCTTAAATAATGTCTTAGATTCGTAGAGTGCCTCTGTTGACTATTATACATCTTCAAGTAATCTGTAAGACATCTGTGTTCCTTCTCTCCTGCCTTCCAGCCAACAAATGCAAAATATAATCATTTACGGTACTCATATTCTGCATCTTACGATACAACAGCTCTTGAATGAAAAAAATAAACTTTCACTCCATATGGAAGTGGAAAATAATGACTTTCTTCGCATCCATATTTTTAGTATATACTGTATGCATTTGGTAAGTTTACAAAAAAAATGTAATGTTTTGGTATGAGGATTTATACTCACCCTTGAGGGATTAATCTATTAAGTTCATTTTTATATTTGTTTATTATATTTCATAATTTATATTTATATTTTTATATTATTGTCATGCTTATATTTATATTTTTATATTAGTGCCATGCTTATATTTATTAATTTTTATCTGCTTTATTCATTCATTCTAGCTCTGTATGGTTGCATGTGAGAAAGAGAATGAAGTTCTCCAATGAATGTTATTATTTTGTACTGGGAGTAAAACTGAATCAGGTGGATCATCTACTGATTCTCACAAACTTTCTCTCTAGAGAACAATAAATTTTCAAGGATGTTCACAAGACTTTTAATTCCACTGCAGCCATTTAGAAATCCCCTATCACAGTACTGTTCTAAAGGTAAGAAGTATTCTTCTCTCCTAAGATTTGGTCACTCTATTCCATTTTATGCATGTTAATTTTTTTCTATCATGGAACTTGGTTCTACTACAAAAGAACAGACATTTTTAAATTAATGCAAATCTAACAAACCTTTTTTTTTTTGTATTATTGAAATGAAAAATGTTTAAGTGGGCCGTATTAATTTTGCTTTATTTCCTTGAGTTAACCATATCCCAATGTTATTTTTTAAAAAAAAAATAGTTTATAAATTACTAATTTATTGGGCGATGCATTTTTTTTCTTCCTGAAAGCAACTGATTATATTTAGAGTATTTAAAAATTAATATCTGGTTCACTCAACGTCTTTAAAAATAAAAATGAATGTTGCAAAACTTTCATCAAAGGGAAGTTAGGTTTTTTCCTACAATTCCATTTGTTTGTATTACAAATTCAGAAAGCTTTGATTGTTGCATAAAACTTGGCAAAGCAACAGGGAAAAAGGGGAGAACATTATATAGAGAATACTTTGTAACATCTGATATGGGGTAACTGCAAGTGGAATGAGACAACTTGGCACAGCAGTTCACCACCACCAACTCTACCAGCTCACTACCCTGAAGTCAACGCAGGACAACTCCGCATGGCCAACTCACCATAGGGGACTGGAGGGAGAGCAGGTGGGTGAGGAAGCTGGTGAGCAGAGTGCAGAGCAATGGTGGCAGCTGGGGGCTTCCCATTTTCACACACACACATACACACACACACACACACACACACACAGTGCTGCTGCTGAACTCCAGGCTGAAGAGGCCAGGGATGGCAGCAGTGGTGGGTGGAGCAAACAGGCAGTGGCAGCCAGGGGCATCCCATTTTCACAACCTCTGCCACCGCCGCGCCAAGCTCTGGGCCAACGAGGCTGGGGGATGGCAGCAGCTGTGGCATGTGTGAAAATGGGATGCCCCACCCACTTCTTCCCACCACTTCCTGTTTGGCCCAGAGCTTGGAGGCAGCAGTGATGGGGATTGTGAAAATGAGAAAACCCCAGGCACCCCTCTGCACTCTGCCCATCCACTTGCCCTCCCACCCTCCCAGCTCTCCCTCCTACTGTCCATAGCAAGTTATCCCCATGGCAAGTTGGCAGTGTGGAGTTGTCTTGTGGCAACTTGGAAGCAGTGAGTTGGCGGTGAGCTGCACGTGCGAAGCTGGCATTGGCAAGTTGTCCTAGATCCACCTGCAAGATGGTTGTTAAAATCTGTAGTTCTGCAGTACTTACCTGGAGGAAGGAAACTGATAGTTTTTTTTAATGAAGTAATTTGTGTTACATTTAAAAGCTTCTTACTGAATCGTACATTAACATTGTATTTCTCTGGAACTCAGTGAAGAATTCCTGACTATACCTGCAGTCATCTGTGAACTGGAGATTAGGATCACAAGAATGCAAGTAGACCCCCACTACAATGTTCTTCATGTGCTTTTTTAAACCTAGTAAAATTTTGTAAGAATATATGTTAGGTAAGCATTCATTATATAAAAAGAATAAAAAGATTTGAAATATATTTGTTGTTCTGTATAAACCAGGCAAGGTTAGTGGTTATGGGATTTATTTTCTGAAATTAATGACAATCAACTATTCCGTAACAATGCAGAGTCTTCTAATATTGACAGCATGCAAAGAGAAGACAATTTCCATTTGGTACATATTAAGACAATGTAAATTAAATTTGGTTCAAAAAGTCAGATCTGCTTTTGGGTATCCAGTTTGTCAAATCATACCAGTTTATTCCAATTTCCAAACTGAATCAGAACAAACATGCCCAAAGGGACCCAGCAACATCCTCACTGAGTTGAGATGCTGCTGCTCCTCTTTGAACTAGCAGGAAAACTTGGCTGCTGGCAAGAAATTTGTTGTCTGCATTGCCAATCTCTCTGTTGCCTGTCGCCAGACTAAGCAAGAAGGTGTGACGCAAAGCCTATTTCGCATTCTGTAAAGCTACCTTTGGAATAGCATCAGAATAAACCCTACTAGATAAATAAATAAATATTTTTTTTATTGAAAATTTTTAGATATTTTTACAAAAAGCAAAAAAAACAACAAAAAAACAACCCTAACCCACCCACCCCAACCCTCCCTCTCCATCCCCCCCGACCTTCCCAGAGCTGAATATAGGCTTAATTAAAATTTTTAAGAATCTTAAAAAAATTAAAAAAGTATAAATCATAAATATATCTAAATACCTTACATAAACAATTTATAAAGTAATTAACAATAAAATATATGTAAAAAAAGCATACGTATTAAAAAGAAAAAGTACTTGAAAGAAAAAGAGATAATAAAAAAAGAAAAGAGAAAGAAGAAAAGAGATATAAAAAGTACAATCTATAAAATATTAAAATTTATATACAAGTTATTAGAAAGCTAAATGATATTTTTATATCCAATTTATATTGTATAAAATTTATCCATTTTTCCCATACCGCAAAGAATTTCTCTTGCGATTGCTCCTTTAAGAAAGCCGAAATCTTTGCCATTTCCGCCAAATAAGAAACTTTAAAAACCACTCTTGCAAGGTAGGCAAAGATTCCTTCTTCCAATATTGCCCTACTAACAGCCTAGCGGCCTGTAATCAAATTTAACATCAATATAACTTCCTTAGCATCACAATCAGTAACAATACCTAACAAAAACAATTGTGGGGTAAATTTTACCCTCTTTCTAAAAATTCTTTGAATATTCCACCATATCTTAATCCAAAAAGACTTTTATATTTTTACACGACCACCAAATATGATAATAAGTAGCATCCAAACAACCACATCTCCAACATTTAGGCTGTAAGTCAGGATACATATGAGACATTTTTTGTGGATCAAGGTGCCATCTATAAAACATTTTGTAAAAATTCTCCCTTAAGTTCTGGGCTTGTGTAAATTTAACATTCCTCACCCAGATGGTTTCCCAGGTATCTAGTAGAACTGGTTCACCAAAATTTTGTGCCCATATAATCATACATTCTTTAATTAGTTCTGATTCTGAGTCCAGTTCTACTAGCACCCCATAAATTCTCTTAATGTGAGTTCGCCTTTGATCTTTTACTTGTTTAAAAAGATTTTCATCTTCTCTGAGCAGACCCACATTACGATCTATCTTCCATCTATCAGCTATTTGTCTATACTGAAACCATGAATATATAATATTTTCATGTGCTAAATCTTCCAAAGATTTTAACTGCCAATTTTTACCATCCCACCTGAGTAATTGCGCATAAGAAACACTATCCATCTTAACTCCTCTTCTTATCCCCTCTATCGCATGCCAAGGTATAGCCCATAATGGTATTTTAAACTCACTTTTATAATATTTCCTCCAAACCCGAAGTAAAGAAATCCTTATAATATGAGATTTAAAAACCCGATCCACTTTTTTATTAAAAATTAGATAGGCATGCCATCCAAAAAGTAAATCCCAACCCTCCAAATGGAGTATTTCTACATTTGTTAAATCAACCCAATCACTAATTAGTGTTAAAGCCACAGCATCATAATATAATTTCAGATTCGGTACCTTGAGTCCACCTCTCTCACGGAAGTCTTGCATAATTTTAAGCTTTACCCTTGGTTTTTTTCCCTGCCCAAATAAATTCGTTGATACCTTTCTGCCATTCATTTAAATTAACCTCATTCTTTACAATAGGTAACATTTGAAATAAAAAGAGAAATTTTGGCAGGACATTCATTTTAATCACTGCAATTCTTCCCATAAGAGATAACTGTAACTTCTCCCAATTTTTCAAATCTTTTTGTACCCTGACCCACAGCCTTTCATAATTGTTTTTATAAAATTTTACATTAGAAACAGATAGGGTAACCCCCAGATATTTTATCTTATCAACAACTTCAAAGTCTGTCAGATTAACCAAAATCTGCTTATCCAAATTAGTCATGTTTTAGATAATATTTTAGTCTTATTGTTATTAATTTTAAAACCCGAAACCCGTCCATATTGGTAAATCAGTTGTAATAAATTTACTACAGAATAGGTAGGTTGAGACAAAGTAACCACCAAGTCATCTGCAAAAGCTCTTAATTTATATTATTTTTTGTTAACTTCTATTCCTTTTATTTCCTGCGACTCTCGAATTTTGATCAGCAAAATTTCCAGAGTTAAAACAAACAGTAACGGTGACAATGGACATCCCTGTCTTGTACCTTTTTCTATTGTAAAAACCTCTGACAAACCCCCATTAACAATAAGTTGTGCCGTTTGTTTTTGATATATAGCACCAAAAGCTTGTGATATTTTTTCTCCAAAATTCATTTCCTCAATTAATCTTAACATAAACTGCCAATTCAATTGATCAAAAGCTTTTTCAGCATCTAAAAATATCAGCCCTGCGGAAATTTGGTTATTCTTATCTAAATATTCTAATAAATTAATAATTTGTCTAACATTATTCTTCATATACCTACCAGTTATAAAACCCAATTGGTCCTTATGTATAAGCTGATGCAAAACCCTCATAAGCCTATTAGCTAAAATTTTTGCAAAAATCTTATAATCTACATTTAAAAGAGATATGGGCCTATAATTCTTCGGTAAAGTGAGATCTTGATCCTCTTTTGGGATCAAAGATATAAAAGCTCTACGCCATGACGGAGGAATCTCTGAGCCCTGTAGTATATTATTAAAAAGCTCACATAAAGGTTGAATCATCTCTTCTACCAAGGTTTTATAATAAATGGATGTCAAACCATCCGTACCCGGTGCTTTACCTAATTTTAATTGCTTAATAACTGTCACAATTTCCTCATTGGTGATTAAACCATTAATTTCTTGTTTCTGATCTTCTGTTAATTTAGGGAAGTTGGCCTCACTTAAATAATTATTTATATCTAAAGTTTGTACATTAGTACTCTTATATAATTTTTGATAGTAATCTAAAAAAGATTTCTTGATCAACTCCTTCTGATAGACTAATTTACCATTATAATTTATTTTGTCTATAATTCTCTGTCTCTGTTTCTTTCTTAATTGGTAAGCCAACCATCTCCCTGGTTTATTAGCATTGCAAAATGTATTTTGTTTCATAAACAATAAATTAGTTGCGGTTTGATCCGCCATCAACATATTAAATTGTGTTTTTAACAACTTTATAGATTCTTTAACCTTAATAAATAAAAAAATAAATAATAATAATAATAAATAAATAAATATTTTAACACTGATATAATTAAGAGAGATTTAATTCTATCTCATTCGCACCATAGGTTATCACTTATCACTTAGAATCAGGGGTAAGCAACCTTGGCTCTTTTATGACTCGTGGACTTCAACTCCCAGAATTCCTGAGCCAGCATGGCTCAGGAATTCTGGGAGTTGAAGTCCACGAGTCATAAAAGAGCCAAGGTTGTCTACCCCTGCCCTAGATTAATTGGTGGCATGTTATTCAGACTGATTCTTTGCTTCAGAAAGAAGCAACTTCTAATCAAAACTCTGAATCAAATTTTTGAGCAGCCTGGTCTTGTTATTTCTGTCTCCTCTATGAAATCTGAACCATTTCGTTACCCAACATTTGTGACAACTACTGGAGACCTGACTGCATAAAGAATGGCAGAGCAAACCCATAAATGGAGCAGGCATCTGCCAGGAACTGCTAATTTGTGCCATTGTTAGATGCAAATGGGGAAAGACCTGAATTCTTTCACATAGAAAGTAAGATAGCTTCATGACAAGACGGTCCAGGCATTAAAGAGAACACAATTTTGAAGCAAACTAGTAGCCCAGCAAACTGCAAATTAATTCATAATTTAAATAGAGTAAGCAGGAGAGGATTGGGAGAAATCCTAATTTAGGCAGGCAATAGTTGCAGAACACTAGATCTTATTCAAGCACCAGTGCATAAATAAGCCAGAGCAAATCGAGTAACTGATACTACACAGCAAAAACAGCGCTATACAGCCTATAGTGGGTATAAAATAGATATCAGCTTTGTTTAAATGCTTTGGCATAACTGACAGATCCTGTAATATAAAAGACATAATTACAGGTATCCTTGACTTACGGCCACAACTGAGCCCCAAATTTGTTGCTAAGTGAAGCATTTGCTAAGTGAATTTTGCCCCATTTTTCAACTTTTCTTGCCACAGGTTAAGTGAATCACTGCGATTATTAAGTTAGTAACATGGTTGTTAAGCGAATCTGGCTTCCCCATTGATTGCATGACCCTGGGACACTGCAGCAGTCATAAATGAGTCAGTTGCCAAGCATTCAAATTTTGGTCACATGACCATGGTGATGCTGCAACGGTTGTATGAAAAACAGTCATAAGCCGTAAGTCACTTTTTTCAGTGCTGTTATAATTTTGAATGGTCACTAAAATGAACTGTTGTAAGTCGGGGACTATCTATATAGGTTGCCACCAATCAAGTTGGCCTATGTCCAGCTGGGAGGATTTTAGATTTTTCACCAATGACATTTCAGCTTGTCCCTAGAAAAACATAAAAAGCACTTTACATCTTCTTGTCCAATTACAGAATTCCTGTCTACAACAAGCACCAATGTGGGCAACAATATTCAAATGTGCATTAAGTTTTTAAAAATATGTATGAAAAATCAATACAAACATCAAATTGAGCTTTGTGAAAATGTGACAATGAAAAGTTAATTGCTCTGGCTTCTAAAGGACCTGCATACCTATGGAGGAATAAGCAAAGAAAATATACCCACAGAAATCAAGCCA